TCCGGGGGGGGGGGGGGGGGGGGTCTTAAAGCTGCCCGAGGCCCCGGTATGGCTTATTAATTTAATGCCTGGAATTCTCTCCCCACCATCTAGTAGTTAAAGGGTTTTCCTCCTTTGACTGTGCTTCAGTCTCTACAGTTGACAGACAAGTTCAGCAACTCACAGGTGTTATACTAGTTGCTTCTCTGAAATTAATGATACCAGTGCATCGGGGGTAGCTATTTTTGCTCAGATGACGGCAACATTTTTTTATTTTTATTTTTTTAACATGACAGGAACAGGATGGGGGATTAATGAAGTTTGGCAGCAAAATCACCTCTGTCCTGCATGAGTATTCATCAGTAAACACGGATGATACGTAGCAACCAAACTGCAGTTTAATACCCGTTTACACCCACCTACGATGAAACTGGTACATCCATTTGCTAGGCTATGTGCTAGTATTAGTAAGCTCTGGCTTAGAAATCCACTCAAGGCTGCACATTTAGTATTCACAGCAGCAGAGTTGAGAGGCAGTCCTCGGGTGAATATGGCCAAACAACTTCTCTATTCCTCAGTTTCCCCAGCTCTAAAGTTGGGTGTATTGCAGTGGCATCCAGATACCCCAAGTCAGGACTGGCTTTCCATCCCACCAGGCAGGACATTCGCAAATCAAGGAACAGCTCAGAAAATGAAAAGCAGCTAAACTGCACGATTGCAAATCAATAACAAGATCATTTTTAATTGTATTATGACCAATTGAAAAAAAATAGTGCACACTCACTGCAGGTTAATGGGATAGCAGCAGGTTAATGGGATAGTCTATTTGGCATCTGAACAAACTGTTTGCTCTCCACTGAGCAATTATCATTAGCAGAACATCCTCTAGTGCTTTATTCTGTACTAGGACTCCAAGCATGTGAGCCCCATTGTGATTAAGGTATCCAGGTTGTAGCCGTATTGGTCTAGAGGCAAAAGGAATCAGAACTGGTGGTAGAGGTGATATCTTATTAGACCAGCTAGATTTTTGCGCTTCAATTACTTTACTAAATTAATTAGTTATTAAGTTAATTTAAATTAAATCAAATTAAGTAAATACTTGTTAAATAGCTATTAATAAATATGTAATAAATTAACTTAATTAAAGATTAATTAAATATTAAATTAAAACAAAACGAAAGCTTTTTTTTGCAAAATTGTCTAAT